AAAATTAGTCATTTATTTCTCTCTGTTAAGGAAAGAAAGAATTCCTTAGGAGAAGGATTTTCCTAGCACTTAGATCTGTAAGAAACTTGTCACTCAGGTTTGGAAGGTGCTCCATCACATTGAAGTGCACAGACTTATCAACAATGTCCCTATTATAGGTCATTAAGGAAACAGGCCTCTGTTGTGGTAGAAGCAAAGCTTCATCCTTTGAATGGAAGTGTCTGTGGAATTTTTGGCTCTGAGTTGAGCATGTCTCTTGCAAACTGTATCAGTGGTATCATGTTGATAGTGTGCCACCATGTTTATAGTATGTATCATGTTGATAGTGTGCATCACATTGATAATGTACACCATGTTGACAGTGTGCACCATGTTGATAGTATCCTGCCTTGTTGATAGTGTGCACCATGTTGATAGTGTGTATCATGTTGACAGTGTACACCATGTTGATAGTGTGCTGTCATGTTGACAGTGTTCACCAAGTTGATAGTGTGTGCCATGTTGAAAGTGTACATCATGTTGATAGTGTGCATCACATTGATTGCGTGCACCATGTTGATAGTATCCCACCTTGTTGATAGTGTGCGGCATATTGATACTGTGTACCATGTTGATAGTGTGCAGCATGTTGATAGTATGTACCATGTTGATAGTGTGCAGCATGTTGATACTGTATGATCTACAGTTTCAACTTTTATACCACTGAGTTTGGTAAGTACAGCAATTTCAGATTTTTTTAGAGCCAGTTCCAGCACATCACTGAGAATTTTCCATCTCTGATTTAGCCTCTTTAAATGTGGTTTTCTTAAGGCAAACGATTTATACACACTGAAGAGAAATGAAAGTACAAATGTTTTTTGTTGTTTTTAGATGTTCTGGCCCAAATTCAGTAGATTCTCTGGCAGTTTCTTAAGAAATAACCTCTATAGACATGGGAGAAGCTGTAGATTAGAAAACAAAACTGGGGCTCCTGTGAGAGCATGTCACAGCCAGGGGAAGGTCACAGCTACTGGAGAATGTTCAACACTGACAGGGAAGTCGAGCAACTGTAGAGAAGCCTGGACTTTGAATACAGCATGTAGTGATACGTAGGCATGAAGCAGAGCAAGCTGCTCAGGGTGGCTCCTGTCCTTACCGAGGTCAACACAAGCAGCATGCTAATTACTTTGATTTTCTTTCCTGTATACTCTGCCGTGTCCCCAGTTCATCTCAGTCAGAAAAGACAGTGAGCCCATATGGCTTTCCTTCTGATCTCTTAAGTTGCTGTTTTCTTATAAAAGCTGGGTAAACACTCTCATTTAACAGTCTTTCCTAGTAGTTATTTGTTGCTGAGCACTTCTGCATGCCAGGCATGGAGCTAGATTCTAGGACATGGGGAGTCTCTGCCCTCAAGCAGCAGCCTGACCTCCAGTGGATCCCAATGCATGAACTAGACATGGAAACTGGGAGCAGCTCAGCCTGGCAGTGGGGTCTAGCATGAAGGTTGGCGATTTGGTGTTGATGGAGATCAGTAGAAAAGGCAGTTAACAGAAGTCAGGCTTTGAAGAGCCTTGAAAGCAGCAACAACTCAGGAATGGAGACGCATCAGAGGAGAGATGGAGTCATTGGGACAGCAGAGAGGGGAGATAGGTTTGAGATGGGATAGGAAGGCAGCAGGAGGGAGCTACAGTGCACACTAGAACACTAGCTTGGAGAAACAAGTTATCCACACAGCTGAGAAGGAAAACGGCTGCATGGAAACATTCAGCACTGCCAGCACAGACCCACCCTCTTCTCGGGTTCTACTATGATGGCGTGTTTATCCTCTTCAGACACAAGAACACAGGTGGAGAAGGACGACTTCAACATGTTGGTGACCAGGTCGTTGGAGAGGACATCCAGCTTCTTCACTTGATCCCCTGTCACATTGGTTGAGCCAGCGATGCCATAGCTGGTGGGGGAGGGAGCCACAGAAAATAAGCTAGGGTTACCAGAACCCCACCGAGAGCAAGCATGGATGGATCTAAGAGGAAGAAACCTGACACAACTGGTTTGGGAGAGACGGATGGGGAAGGGCAGTCACACCTGGATGGGGCTCGAAGAGAGGAGAAAGTGCACTGATCAGAAGGCCCAACACCTGCCCTGAAATGCTGCGTGGCCCTGTGTCAGATCCATGTGCCACAATCTTGTTTTCAAAACAGTTTTTCTTTTCCTAGCCACACTCCCCTAGGAAATGTCCATTTCAATAATATCAATAGTGTGCTGACCTATTTTTATATGGTGAGTTTATTACTGTTACCTGTGCTTTCTACAGAACAAGTGGGAGATGTTTATGTAGTTATTTATTTTGTGCAAGAACCACATATGTGAGTTGAAAATAAACAAGAAAGCCTGGGTTGGAGTGAGCCTGGTGTGTGGGCTAACCCAGGGATTCAGCCGCTTCATAACTGAAAAGATCCTAAAACAAAAGGAGCAATTACTAGTCTCTCTCTTCATTTTATGTAGGAGGAAGCTCTGATTCCAACACCTATGGACTTCAAACCACACAGGCGGGGTGAGTGGACGGCAGTGAGACGCTGGTCTAATTCCCAGCCTGGACTGCTCCCATGGTCCTCACTCCTCTGGGAGGAGCCCAGAGTTCATACTTTCTTTTTAAGGGATCTACCTGTAAGTCAGTAAATGTAGAATTCCCAGAATCCAAGGGCCTCATCTAACATGTAGCCTGACTTGTTCAAATGCAGGAGAGATGGGTGGCCATTGATCCAGGTTTAACAGACACAGGAAGGAGGCAGAGAACAAAGAGAAAGTGGGCCAAGATGCAGACACACAGCTGGCAGTGGGTTAGGGCACAGCAGCACCCTGGGGAAACCTCTGCAGTGTTTGCCTGGTTGTCACAGCTTCAGTGATTCCTGAGCTGTGATTCCTTCCGCTCTCTGGTTTCCTTTTAGATGGAGTTTGGTACAGCCGAGACTGGCCTTGAATTCTCTACAGAACAGAGAATGACCTTGAAATACACCACCACACCAGTTCATGAGGCGCTAGGGATGGAACCCAGGGCTTTGTGCATGCTACGTAAGCACGCTGCCAACTGAGTTACAGCCACAGCCCCTTGCTTTGATTCTTGAAAACACATTTTTTCCCAAACCTAACTTGTTTGTATTTTATCTAGCTGGGCAAAGCACAGCCTAGTCTAGAAACACCCAGACTCAAAGGCCTGATCTGTCTATTTATCAGCCACTGTCACTGCCTCCCTTCCAGCCTGCTAAACAGTGGCTGGTCCTCCAGCCCTCTCCACCTCTCCTCCTCTACCTTACCACTCCTACTTCACTGAGAAAATCAAGGCAGTCCAGACTTGCAGCTGTTGCATCTCTGGCTTTGCTTCTCTTTCCACATCATCTCTGTTTGAACTCAACTGTCAAGCCAACGTTGGTGGAAGAGGGTAGCTAGTGGCTTGACAGGGACGACCATCCTCAGTGCTTCTCCCTCACTGGCCTCACTAGTGACAGTTTTCCTCCCTCTGATTTGAGATTGCCACCATCACAGTCCTGTTGATTCAGAAGGGGAGTGGCTCTGACAAGGGAGGACAGGAGCACAGTGAGCACCCCCCCATACATGCCCCTACTCCCATGTAGACCTCAGTTCTGTAAGCCTCCTCCCTTCCTGGGAGTGTCCCAGAAGGAATGGTATCTCCTCTGTGGGGCCGATAGGGGATTACATAAGGAAATGCACACAAAGGGCTTGGCACAGCCCTGGGCACAACCCTGAGCACCTCGGAGATACAGACTGATGGGGACAGATCTGGGGAGCCCAAGAAGCTGGGACACGGGACCTGAGAGCCCCAGGCAGAGGGATGGAACACATCTGACAGGCATGCTGTGATCCTGTATGTCATATCTGTATGGAAGTACCTGAGGCATACCGAACTCTTAATGAAAGAGACAGAAGGTACAAACAGCACAGCACCAGCTTTGACAAGGGCCCTTCTGTCTGTAAGGTGGATGATACCCCAGTGGCTGAAGTGCCTGGGAGAAAGAGCAATCACAGGAGAAACAAGAAGCCGGCATAAGAGGGAGGGGTCAGTCTTGCCACCTCCCACTGGGCCCTGACTCTTAAAGGTCCTACCATTTCTCAACACCAACACCACACTGGAGGCTAGGCTCCCAGGGCTTGATACCTTGAGAGTCACACCATAACAAACCATAGCTCGTGAGAAGTAAAGACCTCCTTCTCAGAGGCCTTATCCCAGTTCCTTTTACTCAGATGCTTCCTAGAGGCCTGCCAGAGCATTTTTATAATCCACAAATACTTACTGGGGACCTGCTGTGCTGGGGTTGCTGTGCTGAACAGGACAGACAGGCCCTGCCCAAGGGGAGCTTAACATTGCAGTGAAGGGGAGAGAAGCAAACAGGTGTTTCCAAATGAAAGAGAGAATGTCAGAGTGAGGAGTGCCCCTCTCTGAAACAAAGCGGAAGATGGCAGGATGGGGCGTTAACTTAGATGGTCAGGAAGCTCTTTGTGTCAAGGAAGATCTCAGCCTTCACACTACATGGCATTTTGAACGGTTTTCAGAAGAAAGAGGTTATGTAAAATCCCCAAAGTCCAAATCAGTCAACAAGGATCACAAAGCAGAGCTCCATGTGACAAAGAAAACATTCAGTTTATTTTTCATGTTCTTCCAAATGCAAGGAGCTGAGTGCTGTAATACACATTTATATAAGTATCTTTTTTAAACCTGAGGTCTTTTCCCCATGGCTCTGCACATGACAGACTGCTACACTCATGAACTCACAGCAGCTGTGGCTGTCTGCACAGGTCCTGCACAAGATCAACCCAGTCAGCATTCTAGCATGCAGTGATAAGAGTTTTTAAGCCCCCACCCCTAACTGAGACGCTATGGACAGCTGATGGCTTTGGGGAAGGAAAGTGCGTTTTCTTTAAGGGTATGGCTCCTGGTAAGTCAACCGTGCTCTAGAGAATGGCCCCACCCCCAGGAGAATATGGACAGCACAAATTAGGGTCAATGGGTTATTAAATAATTTCTTAGAGGACATGAAGTTGGGGGGTGGCAGGGAAGGAGGGACAGATCTGTGAGGAGTTAAAAGGAGGAGTTTTTATGAATATAATAAAAATACATTGTATAAAATTCTCAAAGAACTAATAAAAAATATTTTTTTAAAGCTCTAGATAGGCTGACTAGATCTCAGTGGATGAATTTGCACTGAGGGATGTCTGGGGACACTAACTTGACATGATAGGCCTTAACACAAATAACAGAATGTATGAATTCCAAGTGGGGGGCACGGGAGGGGGCCAATAGGGAAGAAGGTATATAGATGATTAAGATGTTCTGTATGAAATACACAAAAATTTAATGAAAAGCTTTTTTAAAAAAAGAGAGAGGGAGCTCCTGGATCACTCAGCTGATTTTCCTGAGCTTTCGGTCTCAGCATTTGACCATACTGAAATGGCATGAGACCTCTCTCCTAGGTCTCGGGCTATGAGAGGTTACAGTGGTGTCAGAGGAGGTGACTTGTCAAACCAACATCAGTCCTCACTGTTCTCTGAGGTCTTGAGAGAGTTTTATCCTGGGGTCACACAGAGGCCAGCATGCAGAAAGCTGAGGGGCACAGAGGACTGTGCAGCCTGTCCATGGTGAGAGTCTTGTGGGCTAGATAATACTCCAGAGGGTCCAGCAATATGGGGCCCCACCCCATGCCCTGCACTGAAGCATCCTCATCTACCCATCCTCATCTACCACCTGTGGCAAAGAACCAGTCACCTCTGTCCTGCCGGTGGCAAAGAACCAGTCACCTCTGTCCTGCCTTGAGGACTCCCATCCACCTTCTTGTGGTGGCCACTGGGTGACATTGCTTCTCTATCTTTCTTAGGAACTCCTCTCTGCCCCCAATGAGGGCCTTCCCTTATTCTAGAAGGAAAGAGCACTTCCAGCACCCTTCAAACTCAAAGGTCATTCACTGTGTAACTTCTCTAGGACATGAGGGGTGAGGGCTTCCTCCAGTAAGCCCTGATGTTAGGAAACCCTACAAGGAAGCACAGGAAGTGGCTTGAAGGTACACGCCAGGCTCAGGAGAGTGACCTTCCAGCTGGCAGGCGATAATGCCGCCATGGTGGTAGGAGCGATGTCTGGGTTCTGTCATGGCTGGGCATCCATTGACTCACATCCCAATCCTTGAAGCTAGTTAGGCCTCACATTTCTCTCTAGAGTACTATGTTATCCTGGTCAGTGATGTGATGGCTGACAGACAGTCTCTCAGCACACTCCTCAGGGGGAGACTCAGAAGTGCTACAGGAAGTCTCTGAGGAACAAGAAGTCTGTAAGAAGCCAGAGCATTTGTAGGTTTGACAGAGAAAAATATTACTTCAAAAATAGACTCAAGTGGGCCAGCAGGTAAAGACACTTGCCGCTAAGCCTGACAATCTGAATTTGATTCCCCAGGACTCGCACGCTGGAAGGAGAGAACCAATCCATGCAAGCTGTCCTCTGACCTCTACACATACACCATGGCATACTCTCTAGCATACATGTACATACACTTAATTAATCAATTAAAAATAGGAAGGAAGTAAAGAACTGAAAAGTACATTGTATGAACTACTTGCTCATAGTTGTAGCCAAATACCTGAAAGAAACTTAAGAAACGTGCGATTTCTTAGTTCACAGTTTCAGAGGGTTCAGTTCATGGGATGCTTGGCCCCATGAACTTGGGCAGCACATCCTAGCAGCAGGAATGATTGTCAGAGGAGGTTTTTTACTTCATGTCAAACAGGAAGCAGAGAGCAGGAGACCACCAGCACTTTTCCCCTTTCATTCCACACAGACATTCCACACAGCCCTATGGGATGGTACCACCCGCATTCAAAGTGAGTCTGGAAATTCCCTCACAGACATACTTAGAAATGTACCTCATCAGTCTCCAAGATGATTCTAAA